CCAAAAGACTTCTTGAAAAACGAACAGAGTTGTGATTTTTTTGTTAAAGCGCGATGCTGTGAGGGATAAGCCACCTAAATTTGAATGAATATTTTTTATCACAGACTGAAAATGAACCGTTTTGTTTCTTAAATGCACTCGAACCGAACTGAAGACAGACTGCTTTTAAGAAAATAAATACGAAATGAAAAAAACTTGAACTAGTTAAACTCGGTTCGATTGGATCTCTATTTCTCTCTACGTGTTGATCTGCTATGTATTGAGTAGACCTTATAAACACGTCAGAAAAATCTAAAGCAAATACTAACCACGTGTCTAGCACAAGCATAACAAGCGTACAGCAGCAGCGTTACTTCCTTTATATTTGACACCGAGGCTCTTTTTCTTTTAAGTTCTGGATTAAATGTAAAATGGAAGGAAGAACACTTGGTATAAAGTTACATATTCTCCTATTGCAAGTGCAAATATTCAAGCAAATAAAAAGCGTCACTTCCTCGGAAGAAATTTCGTTGCATTTTCAAATGTTCGACAATAATTTATTGCTTCAAAAAGTACAAAATGAATTGATACTGAATAAATTTAAAATATATTTGATGTTCATGGTCATTTTGGTAAATACATACAAAAGCTTTCATGTCACAAGAAGTAGCGTACGTTTGGATGCTAAAGATAATTAGAGAACAATGTTGTAAAATAAGAAACCAAATATGAACTTACTCGATCGCAAGGTTCTTTGATAGCTGCTTCACGTGCATACTCCTCAGGTGATAAATGTGTTCGTCGATAATTTTCTCTCATTAAACAAATGCGCAACATAATGGTAGTTATCACACTGACAGCCATCATTCCACCACAGATCATATGCCCACGTCGATACGTTGGCTTATCAACGTCTCGATAAATCTATGAAGAAAAAAATCACTATCAATACTGTTTTTAAGGGATTGATATGTTAAAAATTAATTTGATATTTAACTCTATAAGTTTTCACAATCAAAAGTCTTACTAGAGGCATGAAAATGCTACCAATTTCACCGATACACAACACGAAACTTATTGCCATTGATCTCTTTGTATGACCACCGACGTTATGCGTTAACCAAGAGAGTAGTGGAGATAGTGCAGAGAATATACCACAACAAGTGACAGTAGTACTGACACAGATGGCCACTTTACCTTGATCGGACAAAGTGGCCATTAAAATGAAACCGATTAACCCAATTAATAAACAGAATGCGAGATGGTAGCCATGTTCGTTTCGACGCGACGATGAATAGCCAATCAGAAAACCACAAACACATGCGAAAACATAAGGTGGTATCGTCATTAAGTGTGCTTCAGTTTTGGTGTAACCTGTAACTTCGAATAATGTCGGAAGGAAACTTGTCAGACATTTGATAGCAGTCATATTGCCAACAGAAATTAGACTATACAGATAGATTCGCCAATCAATAAAAACGTAACACACTTGTCGCCATGAAATTCGAATGCCTGGGATGGATTCACTGTCAGCTATGCCGCCATCATCTCGAAGAAGATTTGTCAATAGCTGTTTTTCCATATTACTCAACCCTTCAGTATCGAAAACAACTGTGAATATTTTCTTTTCTTTTTAAACTCTTACACTGAACAGCATTTGGTATTTTGTCAAGAAGAAGATAGGTAAGAACGCTCAGAGGGATGATTGGCAAGCCTTCAAGCAAAAATATCCATTGCCAATTTATCAGACCACCGATCCCGCTCATATGCGAGATACCATAAGCCTAGAATAATGACTAGAGTATATTCTATTAAGTTAGCATAGGTAATCTGTTACGAGATCAACGAGTACGCACCAGAAGGCCATCGACAGCACCAGAAGCTGAAGCGGCTACACCCAGAAAAGCCATTCTCATAATTTGCTCTTTTTTACAATACCACAGAGAGAAATAAATAATAATACTCGGAAAATAGCCTGCTTGAGCCACACCCTTCAATGGCAAGTGTGAAATATTTTATTATCAGTTGAGATCAGATTACTATACCAGGAGAAAGCGGACAACGAGCAGTTGTCGAGCATTAGTTACAAAAGCCATACCAACAGTAATGCTACCCCATGCAAGCAAGCTCAATGCTAGATAGAGAGTTGGACCGATGAAGCGCATGAGAATATTGCTAGGAATTTTAAAAAGAAACTAAAAAAAGATGGATTGAAACATTTAGAAATTCAATAATGTCATTTTCTTACACAGGCAAGGTAAAAATGTGAAACGCTCCAACTATACTCCGAATTAGTCATACGCAGATCAGTTTGAATGCCCATCAGTTTAGTGTGACCTATGCAAGTATCACTGATGAGAAATGATTGAAGTCAACAATACATACCAATGCTCACTCGATTGATGAAAGAACTAATTTCCAGAAGAACAATAAAAGGAAGAAGTCTTCGATCCAGCTTTCGAACTAGACGACGAATAGCATTGGTGTAGGATTGTTTCTCATCGTTTTGATTGATAGTATTAGTATTTTTGTTCATTGTCAGGATTGTCAGCAGCGGTTGTATTCGTATCGATGCTACAGATGTATTCATTGTTAGATATATAGGTTTTCTTTTAAATAAGTATCACCATTAACTTTTTCACTTAATTTTTAAAACGGAACACAGTCTTTTTTTCACGTACAGTTTTTTGCTGTTTCTTTACTTATATATGTTTTTTTTTATTTGTTCTCCCAGAAAGTAATGGATTAGTCTCTAACAACGAGCAGGAGAAAGAAAGAGGAAGTAATAAACAACATTGAATTAATGACTCTCTTTCTGGAGTAAAATTGACGCAAGTTTTCGATCGTTCTCTCCTCAAAAGTGTGAGGGTGTGAGTGTGGGTGGGTGTGGATGTAGGTGTGGGCGGGTGTAGATGTGGGGAAGGGGGGAAAAGCGGATCCTCGGATCCTTTGGATCCTTTTGGATCCTGGGATCTGAAAGGATCCAAACTGGGATCCAAGAGGATCCAAAAGGATCCGAGGATCCGCTTTTCCCCCTTGATGTGGGATGTGAGGGTGGGTGTGGGGTGTGGGGTGTGGGTTGGTGTGGGTTCAGTTAAGAAGAACACCCCCACACCCACACGCCTCACACACAGGGGTGTGGGTGTGGGTGTGGTGTGTGGGTGTGGGTGTGGGCATTGGGTATGGGTGTGGGTGTGGGTGTCGGGTGTAGGTGTGGGTGTGGGTGGGTGTGGGTGTGGGATGGGTGTTGATGTTCATCTATATATCAATCACGTTCCAATAAGCCATTTGATGCCAAGTAGTTGCATCAAAACAACAATGTGCGAGATTTGATAGACTTCATATACAGTTTATAAAAGAATTCACGGTTCGTTTAACTCTATACATACCTCCTTTGAAAGAACAAGATTTTAGGATCACATGGGTGACATTGGTTAAGTGAGATACTTTTAACAAGATTTGACCGATTAATTATCTATGCGAAAGATGACTTAATGCAAGCGATCTCAATTGAACAAATTGGCCAAGTGTGAAGCTATGAGCATCTAATCGATTAAGTGGTTGAGAACAACCCTTCCTCTCTGATAAATGCAATGAAAGTAATTTATCAATTAATTTCATAAGATATTCTCGACAAATCGTAAAAATATCATTGAAATACAATGATCAAAAATCGATACCATAAACGGTAAAATGACGAAAAAAGGAGAGAATCAAATCGAAAGTTGAGACCGTGGAAAGAATGAATAAGATGAGCAGTAGAGAGAAATTCAAATAGATGTAGTAATGTTTCGTTGACCAATGATTCGAAATTCATATTTTATATATTCCTTTAGTATTAGCCAGAGTAAACGAATGATCAATGTTGTTTATATACTAAGTATCTGAAAATAAATTCAACTTTTAATCGTCATATCAACTTTTCCATTAATTTAAAGATGGTCAAGCAGACAGCGAATGAAGTTCTTTCAGTTTTACAGATTATGCAATCAATACTAAATGATAAAATACAATATCTTTGAATATTGTGTTTTTTTTTACGAATGATGCTGTTTTTTCTTTTGCCTTTCCTTTAGCCAATCAAATACACGATATTTTTTTGTAGGTATATCAAATTTTGATGAAACTTTCGTTTTAAAGTCTCTCTTATAACTTTTTCTTACCTAGTCCTAATCAATGTCACGACATTTGCTGTGCAATGAATTTGTCCAAAAATGAACGTGACATTGCTATGTAGGAGTAAGCCTTTTGTTAACTTTCGATTTCAGAAAAAAAGAGAATGTGTTGATATTATGATCAAGTCGCCCAATTTATTTCTTTGATTCTTGCAAATTTTCATTTCTCCAATATTTCTCAGCATAGGATGTAGGTGTGTGTGCAGATGTGTCTTCTCTTCACCCACACACCACTCGTCATGTTTTCTGACAATCGTTAGAAGATTAACATATGGTTTGATTCTTTACCAATGAATTTGCTTCATGTAGACTTTGAATCTAAAGGTTTTGTTAAAGGGATCGAGCGTTTGTCCTCTTTTACTCGATCAAGCTTTCGACTTTTTGTTATCATTATTGATATTGAAAGTAAATATTATTTTATTCTATACGAATTGAAATTAATAATCAAAGTAACATGTGGTTATTTTCACATTGATACCACTGGCCAAACACAATATGTATATACAAGTATATATAATCAATAGTTTCTTCCATTATTTTGCTAATATCAAACTATACTCAAGGACACTTAATTGAATAACTCAAGAAAAAGAAATCAGGTAAATTTTAACTCCTTGATGACAAAGTTCGTAAATTAATGTTTTCAAAATCATAAGAGAGTGTGAAACCGAGATATAATAAAACAAGTCTTTTTCAATATCTTGTTGTGTTCTGACATAGATAGTACTGGTAACAATATTACATCTTTAAACCAAGTCTTAGTGCAAAAATTATTATTACTAATAAATTTCAAAGAATATAATATAAACAAAAAATAGAATGTTAGTTTTTCTTTTTGTACAGATCATGAATTATTTATTATTCATTTCGTGTCTGTTTGCGGTTTGTTTGGCTGCCACTTATGGTCAATTCTTTTCAACTGGTCGTCACACAGCAACAACACGTCGTCCAACTGGTACAACTGCAAGTAGTGCATTATCATGTGTTTGTTCATGTTGTGCTGGTTTTCGTTGTAAACCAGCTTTTATTCGATCATTTGTTGATACAACATGCACAAACAAAGCATGTAAAGACAAATGTAAAGTATTCGAACCAAAACATTGTGATCATACACTTCTGGGTACCAATGATGCTTATTGTACTGTTTTACCCTAAGAAAATATAAGTTTTCAACTCTATAAAACTCTGTTATCACGTAGGATGTTATATGAAAGATCATATATATTTGATTTCAAATAAAAGAAATATTACGTATGTATGCTTTATAGAGTTAAAGTAAAGAATAGTCACTTCTAATGCATTGCTGTCTATATATACTAGAGTGTACATGATGTAGTGGCGACGAAACAAAAATGAAATACAGAAAAATTTGTCTTCAACCTTTTATTGACCTTTGGAAAACCATTTTGATCATCTTTCAATTGTTCTAAGAGAAAAATTGTCATCACCACAGACAAAACATTATTCATCATAAATAACTCTTGTTTGAATATTAGGTACAATGCACACTTTAATGTAGAAGCGAAACTTTTTCCTTATTATCATCTGAAACAATAATGAACAGTGTCAAAGCTTAATTTGACTTTACTTATTTAACTTTTTGAAAACATTCTAATAAACTACAAACTCAAACAAAATCAACAAGACATACGTCTTTATTTATTTGTATGTCGATGGTTAAGCATTAAAATGAATGAGAAAACAGAATGAAGACAAGAGAAAAGAAACACAAAGAGAAAATCAACAAACTAATACATATCAAAGACAATATGAACTAATTTAATCGTTACGTATTAGTTGAAGAACAATCAAATACCATAGAAAACTAGAGCATGGTTTTTACTATTAGACTATATGTAGAGAAAATTTCTTTCAAGCTTTTGATAAGGAATCACAATACCTGTGTCACCGCTTTGGAATTTTCCTCAGTACCTCTCATATGAAATAGTTCAGAAAACAAAAAAAGAAAAACTATTAAGTCTAGAAAATGTTTTCAAATCCTGACGGTGGATGATCGACAACTGACATATCAGTCATTATCTTTAATGCTCGTTTTATATAACCACTTCGATATTCAGCTTCATCTTTAAGTAAACTTTTCATTTCATTAATGATTTCTTGTACATTTAATGTTGTCGATGATTCACGTTCACAATTGTTATCTGTTCTTCCATTATTACCTTGTGATGGAATCCATAAAGCATGTTGAAGATTAAATACATCAGCCCAACGATGAAAGTTAAATGATAAATGACGACAACCATATGGATTGACTTCATAAAGAATAGCACCTGGTCTCATAAATATAGCATTTGATAAACCTGCTCCATGAACACCAAACAATAAACGTATTGATCGAGCCATACGTGCTATGTCATAGAGATTATCATTAAAATTAAATTGTTTTGGCCAAACACGTAAATATGGATTTGAATGATCAGGAAATGTTTTTAACAAAGCAGTAACTAATTCATTAGCATTTACCATTTCACGACGACCAGCACCAGCACGATTTAGAACAACAATCCATTCACCAGTAAATTCATCTGATGAATGATTTATTTGTTGTTGAATAGAACATGTTTCATTACATATAGGAATGTGTTCAGATATTTTTTTATGTTGTAATTCTTCTTGAATTGATGTTAATTGAAATTTTGATTTAAGATTGAAATTATTTAATATCCATTCTGAATAAGCTAAATAAGCTCGACGATAATGAACAGTTGGTAATGGATATGATTTCAATATTCTATCTGGATAATTGTGGCCCCAAGCTGATGTTCGACCTTTAAAACTTGTAAATAGCACATGCTGGAACAATACCGCTGTTTGATTGAATGATCTACATGTTAGTAATGGATAAACAGAAAACATTGATTGAATCATTTTTTCCCATCTTCTTCTTGGTAGATAAGTTCCATCCGATTGTCGAACATAATTATTCCAATTAGCTGAGTGACCATCAAGTACTTTTGATGAGTAATAGATCTGAATTTTAGTTGGATCAATATAAGATGGATGTGATTGACATTCGGCTAATATCCAAAAACGAGGACCACATGATTCAAGAAAACCATGAGCATAATTATCATCAGGTGGATGAGTTAATAAAATTGGTCGTTTCAAAATAGCTGAAAGACTCAGACTCTTGATAATTGTAATGTTATCAACTACATTTAAATTAAAAGCTCCGTATGTAACCGTAAATGTATCTCTTCGCTTTTCTATATTTGTTGTTGATGGATTTCGAAAAAAATAATATTGATCAGTAGATGATTGATAATAAATATTTGTTAAAATACAATATTCATCATCTTCTTTTAAATCGTTAAGTGATGTTTTGGAACATTTCCATGATGAATAAGGATATGTTTTTTCATTATCATTTTTTATAAAGTCAATATAATCATAATTTAATGGAATATTTGTTACTTTTCCATCATTAGTGATAAAAGTCTTTTGAATGTGATGAGTATTATTGTTACGAACTGTAATGTAGGAGTTAAGTTCATTATAAAGTGATGATGATATCCATCCTACAGCATCATCGTAGGCATGCAATACTTTTGTTATCTCATTTCTAGTTTGCCTAAATGATATGCGATATAATTTTATTGGATAACGATTAATAATAAATAAACAAATAGTCATAATACAAATGAAGACTATAATACTGCAATAAGTTTTATTAACCATTGAGTTGAGAAATGTTGAAACAATAGTTGATGTTGTATTGCTGTGAAATTTGTTTTCTTATTGAAATTTTTTCTTGAAGAAGTTGAAAATAATGAGAAAAAGATAAAACATGCAATAATGTTATGGATAGAGGAATTTGCAATCTCGTAAAAATGACTGTTTTGAGTTCGAATCAATTAAGAAAGAATCTATCTTGTAAAAGCTCACTTAAATGGAATAAATTGCATTTATTTTAAGGATGAATGAGAATGAATGTGTCTGCTGGTTTGAGTTCGATGTCAAACAAAAGTGACCAATTTTCTCTCAAAAAAATTACCGTTGCATCTAATAGAAAAATCACTATTTCTCTGAAAATACTCATTCAATCGTTGAAAAAATTTTAGAACATACAGAACTTTTGTCAATCTAACAGATTCTATAAAAATAGGGACAAATGGAGAAAAGAAAATTTTCTCTTAAGTAATAAATTTTTGAACTCAATACTGCGAGATATTTCTTTGAATAATAGTAGTTTCTTACTTTATAAACCTGGTATTATTATACGAAATAGGAATTAAGTCATTGATTTTATTTGTTCGCGAAACCATACATGGACTACTCTGAGAAAGCAAAAAAAATGAGTGTCCTGTCAGGATGGTAAAAAGAAATTCATTTTTCTCAGTGACAGAACGGTTAAAATTATAGTAAAATGTATGAAAAAGAAACATGTGTGGTGATAGAACAACAAACACTGTTCAAACGATGTTTGTTGGTAGCGTTTTTAAATGAGAAAAAAAAATTGTCAATAGAAAAAAGAATTGTAAATAAAGAGAATCGCGTTTCTCTCTTAAGATTGTGTTGTAAAATACAGGGAATTATTTACTTTCAGGTCAAGCAAAGTTAAAAACTTGAAAACTCCAAATTATTCAAAAGTACTTATGATCTTTAAGTAATACGATTTTCTTTCTTTATCGTTTCTAATTTTACATAAAAAATTTCTTCATCACTGAGTACTCAGGGCATTAAAAAAATCAAGAAAATGTCTTGATTGAAGTTCATTGCATTTGATGAATTAAAATGTCACTTTCCTTCATCATCAGAAATATCATTTTTTTTTTTTTTTGTATTTTTGATATAAATTTTACAAAAGTCTTATAGCTTATTACCTACGAAATAAGATCAGATAACAAGTTTTACTACAATAATTAATCAAACAAAAACGGTTTACAAAACGTCCTAGTACCTCTACGATAGGTAGAATTTTTTGACTGCGAAATTCAGAAATCTTCACAGTCAACCTAACATCTTGTTTGAAAAATTGAAAGGAACGATAAAGAAAGAAAATCGAGTTACTTGAAGATCATAAGCATTTTTAGCATTGTTTGACCTGAAAACAAGTGTTACTTATTCAACTCGACATGCTCTTTGTAATGACGTATGGATTCAATACTTATTTGAAAAAGATTCATAGTTTTTTGGTAGGTTTGCCAATGATTTCTTAACTTAAGAGGGCCCCCCTCAGAAATGAGTTTCCACTTTTGACGGTCCTTTCAACCTGAAATTTTCAGGGATGACTGATCTTGGAGAGATACGCTTCTGGTAAAAATTTCAGCTCGATTGGTCATACTAGACAGGACTTCCAGCTGATTCATGGGTCATTTTTGGCCTTCAGGAAAATTGGGATAACTCCATCACAAGAAGAGATAGATAGCTCGGGCTGGTTTCAAATTAAAATACGTGTCAGTATGCAACTTTTGTCCGAACGGAATTTTCATATTCCGTCCTATTGATTTTTTACGACCATTTTAGTGCGAGGGTCTTAAAATTAGCATAAAAATGGTAGTCCAACGACAGTAAATTCCACTTTTCTCAACCCAGGAGCCAACTTTCAAAAATCCGTTCGGACAAAAATTTACTCTGATCGAGATCTTTAAAACAAAAAAAAATATTGGCAATAGCTCGAAAAATGAGGGAGGAGATCCAATTTTTCTGATTAGAAATCATATTCTGAGAAAAGCCTTAAAGAAGTTTTAGAAGTGGTTTTCTTCAGTTAAATTCAAAAAATTCATATTAAAATGGCATATTTTCAATAAATTTTCTACGTGTAAAACTATTTTAAGGCGCGTAGAAGATGCAGTAAAACTAACACCATTTTACACGCAGGTTAATATTAAAATGTTTTATTCAACGATATTTGAAGTAGCAACGGGGTTTTTCCAAAACTGAAAAACTCTAAAAAACTACGAAAATTTCTTGGAAAATATGGTAGGGAAGTTAAAGTCTGATCTGACAAGTCCTTGAAAAACCGATCATTTTCCAAAAATCTATATATATTCTGAAAGAGGAAGCTTCGCTCTACCTTCCTCTGGTAAAAACTCAATTTCGATATTGTTTCGAAAAAATCGATTTTCTGAGGAGGGCCCCCCTTAAGTTGATTCCGGTTATTTCTGTTCCAATAGTTGAGATAAATTTTTTTTCAAAAATAAATTCTATTTAGTCATTCATTTCATCTTCTTTATACAATCTTCTAATATTAATGTGACTTATGATGATGTATAATAGATTAATATCGATACTATTTTATTTTTCTCCTAATAATGAACAATTATTTATCAGTATTGTCTTTTTGATTGATTTCTGCAAGAACGTTTCTTTTTTGGTTGTTTTTTTTTTCAAAACTTGTATTTAATTATTCATCAGTTATTGTTGCTTTATCATTAGTATGTTTTTCAGTAAAACTCATTGGTTTACGACGTTGATTATTAGCTAAAGATAAAAAATATTAAATAAAATTAACTAAGATTATTTATAGTTTTTAGTTTACATATATTTTCTGATATTGATTGTTCATGTTTATGCTAAAAATAAATAGAGATTGTTTTAAAAAAATTCTATTAAAATAAAGAAAGTATACATGTGTTGAAGGAGATGAATGAACTTTTTCTTCAACTACATCAAGGTCTGAAGAATATGCTTAAAAAAACAAAAACAGAAAAAATTTTTAAAATTCAACTTTATCAATTTACTATTTGTTGAATTAGTTGTTCTTGGTCGTTCATTTGACTAAAATAATTTAATCAAGTATATATTAACTATTGAAATAAGTCATACTACTTCATTCGGTGAATGTAATGACGATTCATGTTGCTCTATAAAAGAAGATATTATTATGTTTAAATAAAATATATTGTTTACATACAGTGACGTATCCAGGATTTTTCAGTATATTGAATCTCGATTTCTGAGCATGGGATCCAGATAAAACTCATGGAAGGTGGTGTTGGATATAAATGATGGAATTTTATCAAAAAAAAAATTTGCACTTGGAGTTTGCGAAAAAAATTAGCATTTTCCTGATCCCCCCCTCTAAAATTTTTTGCTCTTAGGAGTATCATGGTTTTTAGAATTTCATAGGAAGCTACACCGAATTTCATCGACAGATTTCAAAATTCGTCTAAAAATATGCAACCGTTCCACAGTTATGACGTTTTGAATTTTTGCTACATGTGAAAACAATTTTTGCATAATTTCAAAATGTCATAACTGTGGAACGATTGCATATTTTTTGACGAGATTTGAAATCTATCGATGAAATTCGGTGTAGCTTCCTATGAAATTCTAAAAACCATGATACTCCTAAGAGCAAAAAGTTTTAAAGGGGGGAATCAGGAAAATGCTAATTTTTTTCGCAAACTCCGAGTGCAAATTTTTTTTGATAAAATTCCATCATTTATATCCAACACCACCTTCCATGAGTTTTATCTGGATCCCATGCTCAGAAATCGAGATTCAACATACTGAAAAATCCTGGATACGTCACTGTTTACATACCTTCTGGACTCATTGTACTAGTAATTATTAGTTCAGGACTTGTTGTGCGAGTCAAATTTGTCTCAGGACTTAATATATTAGCCATTATTGAGATATTTTTAGCTTTTAATTTTGCTAATTTTTTCATTCGTTGTTCAGTTCGACATCTTTTCAAAAAAAAAAAAGGACGTTTTTCAATAATGATACAATAAATTCTAAAATTAACCTTCGACATGCTTTTGATTTTTGAACATTTATAATACCAAAAAGACCACGTTTTCCACCTATTCGTACATTATGTTTATATCGAAATTCACAACAAATTGATAAACGATTATCAATAAGACCATTAACATAAAATGTTAATGCAAATGGATAATTAATATGTCGTCGAGATTCAAATTGAAATGTTTCTAAAAGACAAAATTCGAATTTTAATTATTTATTCTAAAATAAATCGATTATTATTAATTACTATTAGGTTTTAATGAACCTTTATAAACAATAATATTTTCTCCTCCACAATGTTGTTGCATAATAATTATTTCATCACCTTCAGATTGAAATAAATTACGTTCATATGAAATATTTGTCTGTGATCCATAATATATCATTGTTACTATACATCGATCATTACTTGAAATTTGCTAGATCAAGAAAAAAAAAACTGAATAATAAAATTCGATTTGAAGGAAAAAAACAGAATAACAATTTCAACTATCATTATTTAGGATTATGTAAAGATTAAGACAATAATTAATAAGAATAGTTCAACGAAAATCATGAATAAGTTGCTATTTTTGTTTAGACATGCGAGAAAAAAATATCATCAAAAATAATAAATAAGATAATTCAATGAATTTTTCTCGTATAATGAGTCTTTCAAAAAAATCAGTGTGCGGAAATATTCTTTTTCTTGTTGATCATGATTTCATAGATCTTAGATTTCGTAGTTGTATCTTGAAATATTTTTTCATAAAAATTAAAAACAAAATTTCTTCTAGTTTAAAATATATCATATGTTTTTTTTTAAGGTAACATGATCTATATGTATGATATGAACAATAAATATCTCGCGAACTCTACTGACTTCATGTTTATCATAAATACAAATATCCATCAAGACTTATGAAAAAAAAACAAATCTTTTTGATATATAAATATAATACTTAGAGAAATAAATAATCTAATATTACCTTTGGACTGACAGTACGACGCACCAAAACACTTTTAACACGTGTTGATGGATTCGATGATGAAAGACGTGTTGGTGATGGGGACATACTTCTCTAATACAAACAAAAATAAGATATATAAATTAATAAATATATATTATATTATAACTTGTCTTGTTCGAGATATTGTAGTACTCCTACGTTGTTGATCAATTGAATAATTATTTGGTGATTTTGAACGTCGACATAGTCTAATATTCTGTTTTGAAAATTAATTCAAAATATTTTAGAAATATATTAACGAACTTTAGTATTTTCTGTAGTTAATGAAGGATGAATGGATTTCTGAAATCTTTATTTACGTAATAAATAAAAAAACAGATGTATAAATTTAAGAATAAAATACTTTTCAACATTTTTTTTTGAAGTATGTCGTCTTCTAGAACGATGTTTAGGATTATGTTCATATTCATCTTTATATATGATTTCACCATTTTTATTAATCTTTTTCATAGAAATTAAAATAATTTGATTAATAAAAAAAAAGAAAAAAACTTCATACCAAACCAACATTAATTAAATGTTGACGAATATGTTTAATATTTAAAAGTGTTTGTAATTCTTTATTTGCCAATTCGTTGGATTCTCTAGAAGTAAGTTTTCATTTTGTTTTTTTTTTTGTTATTTACAATCAAACAAAAGACATACTTTACATCTGTCATTGCCTATACTTTTTGATTGATCGATCGTTTTCAATAACACCAATTGTAGTATTATAACAAAGAAAAAAAAAAAAATTTTCTTTTTTTTTTTTCTTTGTCTTCATACATAATAAAATACTTCTTTTATTCATGTTAGAAAAAAAAAAAAAAACAATAACATGTTGACATACAAAATTTTATTAAGAAGAATTACATGAATTTGTTAGAACCTGAAGAAAAGTTGTTTTTCTTTTTTTTTAAGTAATTTTGATTATAATTGTCTATAACGGTAAAATGATTAGGCAAATTTTGATGTAAATATACTAATTAAAGTTCTAATTTAGCAAAAAATTAATTAATTAGAGGAGTCTTCTGTTATTAGCGAAGGGATTAAGACATATTTAGGCTAAAGAAACATTTTCATAACTAAAATAATAAATTTAAAAAATCAATTATTCTTGAACTAAAATTTTCGATTTCTCAAGTATTCATAACTCATATATTGATATCTTCTTGAAGTACATGTAAGATATTTACATAATCAATGATTGTCGTATACATTGAAGAACAATTTGTTTAAGAAATAACAAAATAACAAGACGATCCTACGGTCACACATCAATCGAACTGCTATGAGTATATACTATGTATTCCTTTCAGTTCAAGTGCAATCAAAAATTATTGATGTTGAATAGATTTACATTAGCAAAAATTGACCTTTTTATGCCAGTTCAATACTACTAAACTTCGACAAATTTATAAACACAAAAAAAAAAGAACTGGATGTAGATTTTTGTTTTTATTGTATTTTCAAACAAATAGAAAAGAATATGTAAACAAACTATTTTGTATCTTAGACATTATCGAAATATTTGATTCAATGATCTATCTATCTTTTCGTTTGTATACTTTTGCTCTCGATATTCGATGACAGACACTTGTTCTTTTTTATGTAATGAAATTGCATACTGTATATCTTTTTTAATCATTAGTGAAATTTTGGGAAAACTTTTCATTATTTTCTACTATTTGTACTGAAAAGTTGCAATCCACTAATGTGTATTAAATCAATATGATTAAATTAATTTTTTTATTAATTGAATAAATGCCATCTATCAAAGCGAAGAATGAATAGGAATCAATGAGTACAATTAGTAGTCATTAATATAAGAATTTATTTTCATTTTACTTGAAATACAATATTCTATTTGATCTAACAATATTATTTGTTCTATAATTTTTATCATTTAATTTTATTGTAGTAATAAATCATGAAAAATGACACTTCAATTTTTCATCATATCTTAAAATAGAGTTTGAATGAAAAACAATTCTTTTTTTAATTATTACGATACATCTCTATTATATAAAACTTGGTTTATGGACAATATATGTGATTGTTTTGTTTTTTTCGTTTGCTTTAGTATTGTGTTCATAGATGAATTGAAAATGAATATATGATAGTTTTTTAATTCATAAATTCCAACGCAGCATCTTCTTATTCTTATGTGTCATTATGTCAATGAACTTTAGTTGTGTTGAGTATTGTAAATATTTACTTGAGATTTATTGGTTTTGACATTTCATATATTTTATTTTTGTTACTAACAATGTTCGACAATGATTTCTTTTTCTTCTATCATCTTATATTAAAAAAATATTCACTAGAGATTTTATTTTTTATGATTTCTATGAAGTCATTAATTTATCTATACTGTTTTGACAGATAGTATTAATGCACTTTAAAGACATACATATGAGTAAAAAAAGACAGAAGATTTATTAATATGAGTATCTCTTATATTCCGTTTCTTTTTTTTTTTTATTATCAATGTAATTTACGCAATAGAAATCCTGATCATGAAAAATAAATTATTTTTTTGTTGTTAATCTTGACATTTATCGAGACATATAAAGAGTAGTGAAAAAAGAGAAACAACGTTATTTTAATTTTTTTTTGTTTTTTTCGTTAGTAACTCTACAACAATGAGTGACGATCCAACAGATTTGCTCAAAGCTGAACTTGGTATGGTATCAGAAAAATATGAACATGATCCTCATCATCATCATCACCATCATCATCATCATGAGAAGGTTATTACACCTAGTTTCGAACCGGCAAAAGTTGTAACTCATAAAGTACAACCAAAAGTTAGTCATGATAAGCCAGTTGAACAAAATGAACAACAAAAGCAACATGAAGATGAAGGCAAATAATTATTTTATTTACAAAAAATATTAACTGATGAACTAAATAATTATTATTATAAAAAATATTTCATATTTATATATATATACATGTTTTTTTTTTTTTATCTTTTTGTATTTTTTCAATAAATCATATTCGATTTTGTTCAACATGATTGGTATATTGATTGAAGTTTATTCAGTATAATCGTATTGAGGAAAAAAAAAAGACTATAGATAAATTAGTAATACTTGAGACGAGAGGTTTAATCAACTGCTATTATTATTAATGTCGATTGTTATGTTAATAAGGAACTAACATAGATAAAGAACGAATAATAGCAAATATATATATATATGTATTATACACTGTTTGTAATGGATATTTTATTATTTGTTTTGTAAAAATATTGCTATTTTTGATTTTTTGGTAGATCTTACAAAAAGATATTCATCTTAAATAGTATTTGTTAAAAAAAAAAAAAGAAATTTTTCAGCTTGATTGAACATAGAATCTTGGAGCAACGAATAGATCATTATGATATTAATATCTCATAGAAGATAGCATCCGGAATGACAAATTTTGTTCTAGTCATTGAGGTTTACATGTCCTAGAAATTTCAAATTTATCTAATGAATCGTTCTCCGGAAGGAAAGCAAGGTTTTCCTTAAGGTTGTTATTATTAAACATTCGCTTCGATAGAAATAGATAATTATAATTTTTTTTTTTGAAAAATTCAAAGATTCAATGAATTTCTTAAATAAATAATTATTTTTATGATTGAAACTAGACATTTGTTGTAATAAATAACTATTCTTAATATCAGTTCTAGAAATTCTCAGACGACAGTATAAAAATATTTTTGTGTTATCTATTGACATATACAAACAAAATATTATTATCGCTTGTCATATAAATTCAATATTTATTCGTTGATAAAATACTTATAAGACAAATTCATCAAATGTTGATGCTAATAAATATTCCCTTTGGATCAGATTATTCAATCTTTATTTTATTTTATTCTTTATTTAAGAGAAAGAAAAAAGTTCATCGTTTTTTTTTTTTATATTAGTATACAAATTGCAGAAAAGCAAAAAAAAAAGAAAGAAATTAATAATCACTGTGAATGAGAGAAAGATAAAAGTTAGAGAGCTAAGAATCAATCTTAGGCACTGAGAGTAAGAGACCAGAAGAAAAAAGAAAAGAAATTTGAGACAACAAATGACTAGAATGAAAAAAAAAACAGGGAGGGCAACATAAGGTAGATGAATGAATTTTGCATTCATATGCAAGTGATCAACACTTGTCGAATAATAAAAAAACAAAAAAAAAAAAAACATGACTAGACACAATTACCGAAAATTAGCCATTTCATAATGGGCAAATCTTTCATCATCATATATAGATGCAGAAGGAGGAGGAGGAGGTGGAGGAGGAGGAGGAGGAGGAGGTATTGTTTGTCTATAATAATCTGAATTCGATATTGTTGATGGTAATCTTTGATTTGAAGTTCCATAACGATTAATAGATAATTGTGTTGGTGTTATATCATTAAGTAATGGTGATGATGGAAGTAAACGTGTTGTTGTTGTAACAATTGGTACAACTATAGATCCCGAAGGATTTATTGGTGGTATATGAGCAATAAGTGAAGCTGCTGGACGTGGTGGAACATATGTTGTATCATTTGTTAAATCATTTTTTTCATCTAATTTTGGATGTGTTGCATTCCAATATGTATCTAAAAATGTTGTTAAAGTATTACATGCTTCTTCTAATTGATTTTGGTCTAATGTTAAATCAAACATTTCCTAGAAGAAAAACAAATTAAATTAAATTAATAAAAAAAAAAAAACATACACTTGGACATTGTGTTAATTTATCAGCAGCAACTAATTGTACATTTAAATTTCTATGTTGACTTTTACCACGTGATTTAATTAATTTTTGTAAAACTTTTGGTGATGAAACTTTTAAATAAATAATTATTGGTGCTAAAGATGTTTTTTGTAATTGAGCTGGATGATTTATTGTATCACAATCAAGTACAACTAATTGTAAACTACGTGCTAATTCAAATATACGTTCAATTTCATCATGAACTTCTTTTATACCATTTGAACGTGTTGCATTTAATGAACCAAGACCAGGTGTTGTTGATGATGTATTATCACCATTACCACCACCACCTCCACCACCATTATTTGTAGTTGTACGTTCAATAAGTGCAATTTTTGATGGATTATTTAATAGACCACGTTTAGCAAGTGATATATCAGCTGTAATACGTGTTATTATAATACGACCTTCATAACGATGTTTTAAAAAATCAAAAACAGCTTTTTGCATCATATCAGTTACATCGTATCCTTTTAATGATGGACCAACTAATACAACAGGACGCATATTTGGTACAACATCATATGGTGTTATGTTAACAGTCTAGAATATAAATAAATATATATAGAAATTGTTAAGAATTTCGAAGTTTTGATGATCAAAAAAAAAAAAAATTTGTTTACTTTTTTAAAAAAATTTTTCTTTTTATCTTTATTCATATTTGTATTTAATTTTGATTTTGTAAGACTATGATTATCACCATCACCATCATTGCCAAACATATCATCATTAAATGTAGGTATATTTTGATCCATCATATCAAGACCTTATGATTAAAAAACAAAAAAAAAGAATTTTTGAAATTTGCTTTTTTTTTTTTGTTTTTGTTTTTAAATTACTTTGTGTGGATGTTTTTATACGTGGTGTTGCATTTGCAAGTGGTATTGGATGATTTTTACTTTTACGATTTGATTGTATACGTATCATTTCTAATTTTGCTGGACTTGGTATAAAACCAAGTGGTGCATCAACTTTAACTAATCGACCAATCCACCAATCGTTATTAAATTTCTAAAAAAATATCAAATATCAAATTTTGAATTTTATTTTGTTTTAATTTATCTTACATCTTTAATATGAAGAAATTCTTTTGTTGTAAATGAAATAGCTGCTTTAGCAATAGGACAAAGATCATCAGATGATGGTACATAATCAATATTTGTTCGTACAGCAAATGCAACTGGTTTTGTTTTACATCGTTCAAGTGCTTCACTTGCTGAACGTGTTTGATCACGAGGTTTTATTGGAGGTGATAAACTATTTGTAGTTGTAGCATTTGTTTTAGTTATATCAGGTGAATCTCCATCAAAACTTTCTGAGGATTGTTGACTATAATTGGATTCACCAGAACCCTAAATAGAAAAAAAAAATAAAAGAATTTTCAAGGGAAATAAGAATTTTTCTTTGTTCTTTGAAATTCCTATGGGAATTTAATCTTTATTAAATTCTTTTAAAATACAAACCAATATTATACGATGGACAAGTAATGCAAAATTCATCTGTATTGGTTCTATAGGAAAAAAAAAATCTATTCTGTCTTTTATTGTCCATCTGTTCTATCATCAATCAGTATTTGTCAAATCTATTTTTACTTTACTTGAGTAATTATCTAACGATTCTATAATTACATGCGATTCTTTTTTGCTTGTTTTCTAATTGCTGATGAAGAAAATTAATAATACTGGAATACCGATTATCGACTTAAGAGAATTAGAACAGACAATGATGACTTCACATCTATCAATATGACAATATTTCTCTTGTTTTTACTCATTCATCGTACAACGATCACAAGTGGTCACCGAAACCTTCATAATTAGTGTATAAAATTAGACTTACAACGGTTGTTGTCGAATAAGCACTATCAGCTGAATGTTGTTTTACATTTCGCATAGATGACATCAACATTTTTCATTATAATACTTTCCACATATTAATCAAATAGATTTTGGTCGTTTATATTTATCGTCTAGTCTAATCCATGATGATATAAAAAAAAAGAAAAAGAAAACTAATTCTTTTTTTCTCTCTCTCTCTCTCTTGATTTTGTTTATGGTTAGTAACAACATTTTTCTTTTTCTTTTTTTCGTTCGTTCTTCTCTATATACTATTTGATTATAGTAAATAGGTACCTATAGAACATCGCATTAGAACTCAACGACAATGACGAAAGAAATAAGAATGTATATGAATATTTGTTAATTCAACACACGCATACATGTAACAGAATAATACTAGCATCAAATCATGATTTGACACACATAAAAGAACGAATAACACACTATGTAGTCGCATCGAATTCCACTCGTCTTATCAATCTAACACAAAAGCAAACAAAGTCTAGTTTTTTCTTTTGTTTTTCTTTTTGTTGTCCTATGATAGACAACTCATTTTCTTTTTCGCTAATACAAATCATAAAAATTGGTTTGTATGTGTATGTGTGTGTTTTTTTTAATATTTTGGATGAGGAAAGAGAAAAAAAATCATTATTTTTTTTCCCTAAAGAGAGACAAATTTATTTAATTAAATAACAATAGACAAAAATTGAATTATCAATCAATTCAGAAAACACTTACTTGTCGATTGATACTATATGAATCTGATGACAGACTGCTATCTTGTGTTGTTCCAAGACCACTCAATTTTGGAGAAATTGCTAATTTCTAAAAATAAGTATATTCTATATTAATCTGTTCAAATAATGATAGAAGAAAAGAAAAACAATTTATGATAAGTATTTAGTAGTCGGATTTTCTTTTTTTTGAAAGATAAATGAATATTTCAAGTAGAATGAACAAATATTAAAAAAACTAAAATCTTTTTGAAATTCAAATATGTATTAGAAATCTATTATAAATATCATTTGTTTTTTCGGATCAAAAAAAAAAAAAATGTGAAATTTTATATAAAATAAATTGAATATCAAAATGAAATTTAATTTAAATAAATATATATGTAGGAAAAATTTTTTTCTTATATTTAATTCTTACTTTTGGATAAAGAAGATCTCGATTATTATCACGTTGAATTGAATGAACTCCGCCCGATAACAATGGGCTATTATTAGGTTTATTATTATTTATCGTTAATATTGGACTAGATCTTATATTGTTGGCCATTAATATCATATTTCCATTTGAATATAATCATTTTGATCTTATATATTGATTCATATAGTTTCTTATGAACATGTGAAATCTTGATTGAGCTCTATTTATTATGTATTTGTTTACATGATCATAGGTTATTATTAAGAAAATTGCTTTTAATAACCAATCAATAAAAACTTATATCATCATCCAGTCAGCTTTTTTCTTTCCCACATATATAAAACCATCAAATAGCGAACTCTATTGAAAGTACTGATAAACTATTATATAAAAAAATCAAAACAACAAATATAACAGAAATGATAAGAAAAAAAATACACATATATTCTTATAGATTGTTGACAGACAAAACTCAACCTACGTATTAGTGACAATGACAACAGAAGACATACAACTAATGATAACGATGCCAATGTTATTATGAATTAGATAGGCAAAAAAAAAAAACAATGTTGTTAAAAATCGATTAGACATTGATTTATTGCAACATTAAAATCAACAATTTGTCTTACGATTATTACGAATTCAATATTTTATTTAAAGAGTAAATTTAAATCATTCAATGAGTTAAGATATGAACAAAAATTCGTGATTAGTTCAATAGTTAGATCATTATTAAACAATTCTAATATAGTGTTATTTATATCTTTTTTTTTTTTGTATCGATTTGAAATTCTTCTAAATCTTCATTCATTGATATGAATCGAATAAGTTCAGAATTAATAAAATAATCAGAATATTAGGATTGTATGAGACAAATAGAATAGTTTGAACTCTTAAATAAATAATATTGACGATTAAAAATTTTATGATATCATTCGGCAACTTTGAAGGTTTTATATTTTAAGATATGCATTCAAGAGGCTGAATAGTGAAAGATTGAACAACAATAATGACTTTATTCGTTGTGCACTTTACAAAAAGAAAAAGCTCCGTTATTTTTGATGTTTATGAAGATTTGTTTTTCTCACTCTTCATCTAAAAATGGGTTTGAGAGATAAGTACATAGAACCATATGTAATGACAATTCTTCTCTCTATACCCAAGATGATGATTTTGACCGATAAAAACGACATATTATTGCATTAATTTCACTGTTTTATATCTTTTACGACTGACAACGACGCCATTTTCTTGAACCTAGATATGTTTCATACTCAATGTAAACACGAATATTGTTTTACAATTTTCTTTTAATACTAAAGAGTAGTATAGATAAAATGACTTTAGATTATATCATATATTCTTATTTTCATATTTCAATAATCAAAAAAAAAAATAGCTATGCTATTCGGTATAATATAGGTTCATCAAAATAAAAATCGAAAGATCAATGAATGACTTGTTTTTTTTTCTCTACATGAATGGTACAAAAAACAAAATAATCTTAAGAAAAGTCCACTATGTGGTTAGTGTTAAAATTATTATTTTATATTCGGAGTAGTAGATGATGTAATCATTGGTGATGGTGATAATGAACATTCTCTAGTCGATTGTGTTTGAGAATTGTGTGGAGCCGTTTGTAATGGATAATTATTTGATTGAGTTGGTAGCATAACTGTCGGTAAATAAAACATCATTGGTGTATTGAAATATGGCATTGGAGTTATTGAAGGAGAAGATACATTTGCAGAAGAAATTAATGGCGTTGGTGAACTAGGTATACTTGATTGTGAATTAACAATATTTGTACTTAATTTTATATAGATTGGCTTTGAAAGAATCCATTTACCATTCATTTCATTTAAAGCTTTCATTGTTTCGTCCATTGTATTAAAACATACAAAACCAACACCTTTTGATTGACTACCATTTCTTAAAATCTTAAATAAAATGACAATAATAAAAATATGTATATAATCTTATGTCTACTCACATGTGTTTTCGTTACTCTACCAAATTTAGTAAATATAACTTCAAGTAATTGTTCATCAATCATTGGATCTAAATTACTAATAAATAATGAAAGATTATTTGATTGTCTATGATGATTTTCTTCACGAATTCGTTGAATTTCATTTTGACGTTCAGATTTTTTTTGAAAAATTCCAACATACAATTGTTTACCATCTTCTAATACATATCCATTTAAATTCATCATTGCCTAATAAAAACAAAAATATATAAAATAAATTATATATTATCAATTTACATGTTGTGCCATTTCTGGTCGTTCAAAATTAACAAAACCAAATCCTTTAGATTGACCATTATTATCTGTTTGAATCTATTGATAAAACAAGGATACTTTATAATTTTAATTCATATAATTTTATTGCATACTTTACAACTTGTTATAATACCATAGGTACCAAATAATCGACATAATTTTGTTTCAGTCATATCTTTACCAAAATTTTTCACATATAAATTCGTAAAATTTGATCGTGTTTTATTCATTATTGGATTATCGTTTGATATATTTGTCTACAAAGAAAAACAAAAATCAAAAGAATATATGAAATTTGTAACTTTTATTACTACATAAGAAAAAAAAAAGAACAACTGAATGCTTTTAGGAAGCTGCTGCTACTTTTGTTTTTCTGCTCATGATTTGTTATTTAAGATGACTGACTGCATGAAGGACAACAATTGACTTATTGCATTTAAACTGCTTAGTTGTCTTGACGAATTCTTCTTCTTCTACCTATCAATGTATTAGTCATGTGAGCCATTCGTTCTCTACACCTGAGCATAATTTCAAATTGGAAAAAAAAAACTAAATCATGAGTGCACATGTAAAATTGATTTTTTAAATATTCGACGACATTCGTTTGAAGGTATAAACATGTGAAAAATGACTTCTAATAGATTCGTTATATGATGATGAATGATTCAATCGTAAAGCGACAAATGATATGCATATATACTTTATTTATCGTGTTTCAAAATCTATTTTAACAAGGATAAAAAAAAAAATCTTGATTTTCTAATAAATTTAATTTACAATCTAATAAAAGAACTACAATTCATCCATGCAATTAATCATCTTCTCGACTCGAGCTGTGTTCGAATGGCATGGTAGGCTTTTTTTTCTTTCATGCAGTCTCTCGCGGGACAAAAAAAGGGCCTTTTTCCATTTCACTTTTGCATCGCTTTACACTTTTTTTTAATAAAACAAAATATACCACAAGATGCAGCGTGAAAAGAACTACAACCTACAAAGTAAAGCTTATTTTATTTATGTGCTTTTTGCTTTCGAAAAAAAGCAAAATCCTGTGCGCCCAATTTTCGACACTGCGAAAATATCATTTTTTCTTATCTTATCTTACCTCATCTTATCTCATCTTTTTATCACCTAATGTGCTTTCCTGAAAAAAAGACAAAATATACCAGAAGATACAGCGTGAAAAATTCTACAATCTACAAAGTAAAACTTATTTAAATTATGTACTTTTCATTTTTCAAAAACAGCAAAATTCTGTGAGACCAGTGTCTGACGCTGCGAAAAAAATCATTTTTCTACACGAACGAGAAATTCTTTTCTTCGTATTTGAATAAATTGTTCTATATAAATTATAGAGCTTTTCACGCTGCATCTTCTGGTATATTTTGTTTTTTTTTCAGAAAAGCACATTAGGTGATAAAATGATGAAATAAAGAAAAAGGAATTTCTCCTTATGGCATAAAAAAAAATGATATTTTCGCAGCGTCGAAAATTGGGCGCACAGGATTTTGCTTTTTTTCGAAAGCAAAAAGTACACAAATAAAATAAGCTTTACTTTGTAGGTTGTAGTTCTTTTCACGCTGCATCTTGTGGTATATTTTGTTTTTTTAAAACAAAGTGTAAAGCGATGCAAAAGTGAAATGGAAAAAGGGCCCTTTTTTTTGTCCGCGAGAGAGTATTCTATTAATATAGCAAGTTGTATGAAAATTATAAATATTTGACGAATTGATTTCGAGTAGTGTTCTAATTGAATAAAAACAAAAGGTCAAAAAATAAGCAAATAAATAACAGTTGTATAAAATTAATAATTCAAAAAATAACAACACAAAAAAAGTTTATTCTCTTCTTTTTTTTTTAAATTTTATACATATAAATCAAAATATTTTTTATATTTAACTATTTGTTCAAGTTTTATTTTGCCTTCTTGTGATAAAGAACAATCTTGTAACCAAAATATATTTAATGTTTGATTAAATTCAAACATTGGAATAAGAAAATTAATACAACAATCACTTATTAATTTATTTCCATTTAAAGATAAATGTATAAGAGTTTTATTATCAGAGTAAAGTACATTAGCTAATAATTGTACACCATAATCACTAATATTATTATATGAAAGACATAAATCCGTTAAAATTTGATTTTTTTTTAACATTATAGCTAAATAATCTACACCTTCATCTTCAATATAATTATGATCAAGATAAAGTAATGTTAAATTTGAATAATTATTTGAAAGAATATTTGCTAAATATTGTATACCAATATTATTTAATAAATTTTGTGAAAGATATAATGATTCTAATGATTCATTTTCTTTTAAACTATCAGCTATAATATATAGACCTTGTGATGTAATTTGATTATTTTGTAATGAAAGCCAAATACATTTTTTATTTTTAATAATTTGTTCAGTAATTATATTCATATGAATATCAGTTAAATTTTGATTTTTTAAATTAATTTCACAATATTTTTCATAATGTTTAATACGTTTTCGAAATAATAAATTAAATAATTTTATATTATTTTTATTTGTAATTGAAGATATTGTTTTAATAGAATTTAAATATGAAACTTCTTTTAAAATAATAATATAAAATTCATTATTTGATTTATAATATGAAACAATTTGAAATTCATGTCCAGGTAAAAGTAAAATTTCATAATTTGTTTGATAAAATGAATGTTGACTTATATTTTTTCCATGATTACTATGAATAATAAATAATGTACGAATACCTGTATGTATAAAACCAATTTCTTTTTTATCAAAAATTTTCAATGATGAAATACATGATAAAAATTCATACCAAAAAAATTTTTTATTTAAAAAATATTCATTTTTTAAATCTAAATTAATTCCTCGATAAAAAATTTGATTAGATAATTTTGGTAATTTTGATAATGATGTAGATAATAATTTTAAATAGAATAACCAAGGTATTAATTCATTATGATTATTTAAATAAAGTTTTTGATTTAATATATAATAAAATGAATCTTCTTTTGGTATCCATTCTATTGTATAAAGCATAATTGAAGCTGATTCATCAATAGAAAGATTATCTTTTGGTTGTTGACATTTTTCTTTTACTAATTTAATCATATATTTTACGTGAGGAATAAAAATTACTAATGGTTCAATTGCTTCTTCAAGTGTAACTAATGATATATGTTCGTAATCATGAATAGATGAAGCAATTTCTTTTGGTTCTCCAGAGAAATTCAAAAATCGAAAATGAAATTCAGGTTGATAAATAAATTTCAAATCCATGAATCTAAATAAATAAAAAATATTCTATTTAATAACAAATCGTCTTGTATTATGTGTCTCGATTTTGTTAATTTAAATAAATATATAAAAAAATTATATGAAAATTTTTCTCTGAAGAAAATAAAAAATATTGCACAACTATATTGCAATCAACGATGAGTATTCAGTCGATAAAAAGAGGTTTTTTTTCAATGTGATGTTGCAATAAGAGAAAAAAAAAAGAACTATACTGGAAATTAGAAATGTAACATTTTGGTGATGGTTTTTTTTTTTTTCTAAAAGATACATTGTGTGGAACTCATGTCTATCTTTGGAGAAGATGTTAATGATTGAACGTTTAAATCGAAGTTGTCGCGCTTTTTCATTTTTCATCTGTGACCCTAGCAACAGAGATTAGAGGCGCTGAACGACATTAATAACAAAGTTTAATAAGTTCTTGAACATTTCTTGAAATTTAAACAGTTGAAATATGTTTTTTTTTTTTTGTTAATATTCCAAATAATGTAGATTTTGATTTTTGCCTAGATAAACGATTATACTAGCTTTTGGAAATAATTAATGTTAGTCTTTCGAAATGCATAATAGATCATCGAGATCTATTGTAGATATAATGAATGTGTATATCAAGAAAAAGAGATGGTTTCGTGAAAAAAGTCATCGAACTACAGAAGATTCTGGGATTGCATAGTCAAGTAGAATGGCACTAAATTTTATGAAACCTTACGGATGATTTAATGGAAAGGTTTGGAATCCCATATCACAATCAATGGTTCTTTGTGGGTGTGATGTGGATTTTTATCTCATCGACATTCTTAGCAATATCTCATAATTTTAATTTCTTCTTAGGATGTACTTTAAGTCTCCCCAGATTATAATATTTCCTATAATAGACATAATAAAACAACAATTAAAAAAAATGAATAGAACATATTCCAATGCAAATATTTGTCAATAATATTGCATATAGATGAGTTATTTTTTTTTTTAAATATTCATTACATTGTAAATATGAGTTTTTAATACAAAAAGTAATTATAATCATAATTAAATTTAATCTGAACATGAATTTGAAAAATGATTATTTAGTAAATATCGATTCACATTACAGTAAAAACGAAATTTTATTATCCTGTTTTTTTTTTTAATATAAACAAATTAAAATATTCAGTTAAAAAAGAAATAAAATTGATTTTATTACAAACAATACTCATAATAAGACAAAAACATTCAACGATATCTCTTTTTTTTACTTTAATCTCTATTATTTCGACATGTTATTTTTCTACTAAACATTCTTATAAGTTGACAACATGCATTTCGATATACACTTCCACCACATAATGTATATATATAAAATGGTAAACCACTAGCAAGATATGTTAAATTAACAACAAAATTGAATATAAATTCTTCAATAGTAATTTGTAAAGTTGATTTTAATGAATCATAAAATGTTAATGTTATAGTTGAATATAATTTTTGAATAGCTTGTGGAAAAGTAAGTATAACTATAAAAATAACTTGTACAAGTAACATAATTAATAATTGACGATCTTTTTTCTTTGTTCGTCTTTGTCTTCTAATATGATTTATTGATATATGAAAAATTTCAATACGACGTCGTGTTCCACGTACATTTAAAATAATCATCATAGAAAAATATGCCATAATTAAAGATGGTATTAATATTGAACCACATGCATATAACATATCAGTATAAATACGACAAATTGCTGTTTTACCATAGCATTCAACGGGTGTTTCAATTAAATTAGCTTCAAAACAAAAGATACTTGGAGCATTAAGTAAAATCGAACAAATTATTATTATTATTGTACATCGTTGAGCATTTTTTAATGTACGCATTTGTCGTCGATGAATATTAACACATGATAATAACCATCGATCAATAGTTGCAAATGATATTAACCATAAAGCAATCATTCGTGAAGTAAATAAAATCATAGCACGAAGTTTACACAGCCAAGTAGTCGTATATGCTATATCAATTGTCCAACCAGAAATTACTCGATTTGTAAGTCCAGATATAATAGCAATAAGACTAGCAATAGATGATATGAGAAAAAGAAAAGCACATGAATTTGAACGAAATTTTCTTTGTGATAAAATAAGAATATTAAGAATATTACCGATTGTACCAAAAAGATAGATAATTATAGATAAATAACGATTAAGACAAATTGTTGCATGATTTAAAAATTCAATTATACTTTGAGTAAATGATAACATTTCAATATTTAATAAGTGACGCTTGTAAAATAATAAATAGAAATAAAAGTGTCCATGTTGCAATTTTATTATTGCTAAAAAAAAAAAATAACGTTTGACTTAAGATCTTTTGACGAATAATGCTCATTATTTTTGAAATACTCTTTAGAAATGAACTCAAGTAATTATTCATTATAATAAGATTTAGAGACAGACAAAGTTGTGTGACTTAGGAATAACTTGTTTGACACACTTTTTTCTATGTGCTATATTAATCTCATACACAATAACGATGCTAAGTATCTCCTAAAAAAAAACTCTAGTTCTAGGTCGTTTAGCTAAAAAAAGAGCTTAATTACGTAGATTAAATTATTTTTATTAATAAGATAGAAATAAAAATTCAAAATAGAACTGTTATAATAGATCATGTTATAAACAGTGAAAATAATTATGCATTCAATCGAAATTTCAGTATTCAATAATTATATTTATTATAAAAGAAAAATATGAGCAACACTAAGATTTGAATTGCCATTGAAATAATTTTATTGTAAAATATCCTTTTTTTTTTTGTTCGTTTCCTTATTTACTACGTAATATCTTAATAAGTTTCATGATCAAAATTTATTTATTAATCTTGATATTTCATGTTACGTTCCGAGTATGTAAGTACGTAGTTATTTAGCCACCTGCTCTATATTTCTGGTTATGGCTCTTGAGAGATAGTCGTGTCTTAACGAAGAAGAAAAAGAAATCAATGAGTACAATTTTCTCGCTACTATATTTAGTATTCATTAAATGTATCTAACGCAAAAGCTTTAAAAAAAACGTTCATTTACTTGAAAAAAAAATTTTTTCACCTAATTTTAACTGTTATACGAACATCCAAAACATTGTAGAGTATTTTCAATCATCTCCCCATAAAATAGAACGAGAGTACAAATATACAAGTGCATGTCACAAACACAACGGCTCGATCAGTTCGATTGCAAGAAAAGAGCGCGCGCTGATCCTATCATTGACTTTGACTAAATCGCTGGTCAACCATTAGTAGAGTTTTCGGTATAATGTGAATCTTACCGATTGGTAGTGGAAACGAATGTACAAAATGCACTCAGAAGATGACGAGATTTTAGTGCTACATGACAATACAGAGCTCATCATTAAGAAAACTAATATATCGAGCTGATTCTAAGTTAACATGTGAAATTTTACTAGTTTGTTGTGTAAATGTTAGTTCACGCTAAAACTTAGGTTTTTAAAACGATTTATTTATTTTTTCAACGTCTTTAATAGTTTAGTATCCTTTATATAAACTTACACTTGAAAGTTATCAAATAATTATTACATTCAGTAGTTTTTGTTTATAGTTCGAATATAAGTTAATGATTGACTAGAAAAAACTTCTTTTTTTTTTTATTAACGAAAATATATACGTTGAAATTTTATATTTGGAGAAAAGATTTTTCCATATTCATAAACCGTATCTGGCGAATACAAGCAGTTGACAGACGAACTTTGTTCTAAAAACAAATAACCACTATTAATCATTCAGTAAGTTTCTCAATTGTGAATAGTAAAAAATGTAGAATACAACAGATTGAATATGCGAGCTATTGATCCTTGACATTCGTAGGATATTATATAGTAAAAATTGAGTATTTATGTGTCATAATTAAAATCAGCCAGATTTTTGTGCATTTTAAACAACAAAAAGAAGCTCATTAAAATTGAACTACTGAAAAACTTAAAATTTGTTCTTCCTTCTTACAATACTAGACAGAATTTTTCGGACGGTTGTGTTTCAAGTATTATACTATGTCTACGGAAAATTTTCCTCCTATATGTTGATTCAAAGTAGAACTGAATATATAGCAGTCTGTGGTAATCAATTGTTGCTGGACAATATTTTAAATTGAGTTAATTTGTATCCACAATTGTTTAAAAGAACTGAAACCGTAGAAATAGAAAGAGCAAGCATGAGCTATATGCTGATAACTTAAATTATCTAAAAGCAAAAGATTAGAACTGTATTGTATGTTTATGTTGTAATGCCTTTTTATGTATTGCATCAGCATCAAAATGAATGAGATTTGTGACGCAGTTGATGACTCATTTAACGACTGCATTGCAGCATCTCAGAAGAGCATAACGTTTTTTCTAGTTTGAAAAAAATGAGTAATACTTAGATAAAGAGTAGAAAATGAGTAAAAAATATACAAATGCACTGGCCGGGAGTCGAACCCGGATAGCTGGTGTGGAGCACGAGGATTCTACCGTTGAACTACCAGTGCTCGTTCTTATTTTTTTAGGAAATACTTCAAATTGATGGATTTCATTCAATGGTCTTTGAAATAAATAAGCAGTATATACGAGAATTATTAGGGGTGTGGGGTGTGGGTGAGGGTTAAGAGCAGAAGAATCCACATCCATACCCACACCCTCATGATTAAATAGATGAATGTGAAGATGAATTTATCTAAATCATTGATATCTACCTCTACCATAACCATATTTGTACCATTACCATTTTCGATGGACCACATAGATGTTGTGGACACTGTTACAAGCGCCACAATAAACAATATGATGATAATTGCAAAGATCTAAAATTGAAAAAAATGCATAAGAATAACAATGTTCACATGACTTTTTTTCTTCGCTAGAAGTTCAAGACGATTTCTGTTGCTTGGTCTTCAAAATAATCTGTTACAACTTAGTCAAAGATTTATTGAAAAGCAAGAACTGCGCGTCCTTGTTTTTCCTCATTCGAGTCGCACCGGACATGGAAACTAATCAGATTAGTTCGTGAAGGAAAAATAGCAGATTTCAAAATTTCGAGAGACTTCAATATATATTAAAAACTACGGCTCCAAGGCTTCAGAAGACTTCGCGAGATTTCTGAAGACGTTGAGAGACTTCAAGAGCGAAGTCTCCGCTTTTTTTCTATAGAATTAGACTCTTCATATTCTAGGAGATTAGAGCATATACCATCTTGCTTTTACGCACAAGACTCTTCTCAGTATGCGTCTCGATATGTTATGGAAAAAATCAGATTTTTGCACTATTCAGTTCTTTTCAACGATGCCAATGATATTCAATACGTGTTCGCATGTCTATGTCACACATTGATATAAAATGAAGCAACCATAATAATTTAGATAAAAATCTTCTGATATCTATATATAGGATAGATATTCAACTTCAAAATTGACGCCTTGTATTTCTAACAATTGAAAAACATTGGCAACATTCTTTTTGTATTCCTTTATTCCAGTTTATATGAAACGAAATAAATAAAACAGAAATAACATGAATTTTAAATTTAGAAGGAATTACATTTCATGTCAACAATCAAAGTGTTCAGAAAATGTTTCACTTGTTTGCGACAATGATCTGGTGATATTTATTTTAGAACTAAAAAAATGTAATTATTTTAATAAATTTATAAAATTAAAATGCTCGTGGTGTGTGAACGTCGTATTTAGTACTGTTGATTTTTGGCATTGAATCAGTTTCTCGAGTATCATGTTGGTACGAATATGTATAATTCATATGAGCTGACTCACCATGCTTATCAACCCAATCTGTAAGAAATATTACTTGACGATATCGTGGTGGGACACAATCATGAGTGTTATACGAAAGATGAGAGTGGCGAGAGTGACGAATATTTTTCACATCTTTCATATCGATATCAACAATTAAGTAATCTTTTATTGACAAATTCTCGGCAACAAATAGATTCATTTCTAATTTACGCGGTGTTACATAGAAGACAGTATCTTTGTTCTAAAAAAAAACAAACAAAATTACTACTCGAAGAAATATTTAGAATATGTATGGACATACTTGTCGCATTTTTTCTCCAGTTTTCATGACAGCTGAAATAAGACAATCGGCAAGAAATGTACATAGTTTGTTTTTAACAATTAAATCAAGTTGAACGCTTGAATGAATAACAACTGTATAGTCTCTATTTTTTTCAGTTGTTCCCCAGAAACTAGTTGAAAAAGGTATAAGTACATAAGAACCGGCTTGTAATGAACCCGTCCAATATGTGAATCCTCCACGTTTACATATTAATATACTCATGCGTTTTCCAACGCTGCCAGATAATGATAGTTCGTCAGCATCGCACAAAACAAATGATTGTGTATGATGAGTATGCGTTGTTCTATCATGACGGTGATATAACAAACTTATAATGATTAATGATGTTCTAGAGATATGATATAGAATTCATAATAAGAAACAAATAGAGAAATAACAGTATACACTTACTGTGGAACATGAAAATGATAAGTAGCAACACATTGTGTAGCTGATTGAGTAAATTGACCTTGCTGACGTATATCAAAATGATCACTATTATAAGTGGAAATGGTTATTAATGAAAAATAACGAAGAAATCGAGGCCATGAAATCCAAAAGGCACCCGTAGAACGACGGGCAGCATTCACTAAACGCAATTGTGCGAGAACACTCTCCGTGACAAGCTCTTCGGTATAATTCGACCTAGAATGAGGATCACGAACGAGTACAAAACGAGTTGAATCATTGGCGAAGGCATGAGCAGCAAGAATAGAAAATGCATGATTTTCATGGATATGAATACGAGCATATTCTTCTGAACTCACACCAGTTCCACTGGAAGATACTCCAATCAATAACCTACAATATAAATTACTTGTTCATTTCAAGATTCGATTTTTTTTTCAACTTACTTTGATTCACAAGCAGATAAAAGTTTAGCCCAAACGATATCGTCATCAAGTGGATCATTAGATGGTTTAAGGTCAATATGATCACATGGTGCTCCAGTCAATAACTGAAGACCTTCACTCAAATGTCCACTTTTTAGACTGGCATAAGAACCAAATACTTTTGCACATGCTTTTTCAATTAATGGAACATACAATTGACGATGTTTGGCTTGAGTAAATACAAGATGTTTGTGTCTAGTGCATGGAAAACAATCATCAACAATAATTGTTTCCCATAAACCATTATGGCAAATACGCACAAGATAGACACCTTCATGATTTACTGTTTTTGTAAGAAGAATATGTTCAAGTAAACGAGGTTGTTCAGAAACCAAAGCTAAGGCAGCTATTAACCAACAATTTCCTAAAGCACCTTGTTGGATGTCACTCGGTTGAGGTGATGAAAAAATTGTCCATGGCAATTTACGATCATCAGCCGACAATGGAGTAACGTCTGATATCCGTAACCATTGTGAAACATCTCTGAATGAGTCTGATCCGATAGATTTAGGTGATGGAACGAACTGATCATCAACAAAATGTGTTTTAGCCTAAATGCAATAAATAAATTAAATATTGTTGATTCAATATCGTGAATATTAAGAACAGATCATTTAACCTTTTCTTTGTATGTTTAAATCTAGAATTTTTTATAAAAGCCAAACTAACTATTGTTATCTATTTCATTCTTATCAATTAATAAATAATACAAGAATTATCCTCTCAAGTGGATGATAAAGAAAATATTTCACTATATAAATGTTTACTAAATACCTGTTTACAATAATCGATAATATGTTGAAATATGTTTTCAGCGTATGATTCATCTTTGTTTCGACGATCACGAACAGCGAGTGACATAGATGTTTGTGATGTCGATTGTGAGTTGATAAGAATGTTCTTATTATCATTCTAAATAAAAAGATTCTTTCGCTTTTATTGCATTTAAAATTAATGATTTACCGATGCATGTTTGTTGTGACCGCAGGCATTGCATCGTTCATTAGCAATTTTATTATTTAATGTGCATCGAGGGCATTGCCAAGTTAATATTGGTTGATCAATGATATTAAGCTCTTCTCGAGACAGGGGATTCATTTGCTTGCACATGTTACAACGAGGAAAAGCCGATGGTGGATTGTCGAAGGAACATATTGGACAAGACCATTGATCGTTAAGTGGAATTGGGGATGTGGCAGTATGAATGTCAGAGTAAATAGTAGCCATAATATTAATCTGAAATATAATGACCTGTTCATTTAAGCTGACGTTTAAGATCTTAGTCTTCTGTAAATTAAGTTGGCCGTCTAAAAAACTTTGTTAAAATGAATATGATTTTAACAGTTTATTTTTTGAAAAACTTCCATTACCTATAAATAATTTTTCAAAAAAATTAGTTATGTATTATTGACAGATGACAGATTATCATATATGAAAAAAGTCAAGGACTAATGGATCATGGTATATGATAAAACGCTAGCAAAACGTATTTGTTTGGTGACGTGCAGTTCTTCAATAGTAAAAAAATTACATAAATAAAAAAGAAAAAGATAAGGAACAGAAATAAAAAGAATCGACTTAATGCAACACTTGATGATGGTTTCATATAAAGACACTTTTTCGAAAACCAAATCTTTGTATTATAAGGTTCATTGTCTTTTCTACAAATTCAATTAATCATTTAGTTTGGCCTATGATAGTAGAAAATCCGAATGAACATTTTAATACTGATTTCGATATTCTCAGCAAAAAAATATCGAGATCAACTAAAGTGGAAAAGATACTTACAGAATATTTAGCAAGTTGCATGTTGATAGACAATTGAAGGTCACAAACAAATGAATGCATTACCTGAGGTATTCAAATAAAAATACGCATGTATTGCCGATAACTTCACAGTCAGACAAGTAATGAAAAAGTCGACGTTTCTACGCGTAAAAGGTGCACATTTTAACGCGACAAAAAGAATATTTTTTTGGTCGGAACAAAGCGAGTTGGTGAAAGCCGATGGTTCAAACTTGTTTCTTTATGAAAAAAATTTTTTAACGCGTTAAAATGTATACTTTTCACGCGTAATGACGCTGACTTTTCCCTTAGTTATCCACCTAGTCAAATAAAAACTATTTGATTTGCTGCTCGTTCTGTTCTGAAGTATGGTCGATAGGGATATGAAAATGAGTAAATGATAAAAATACATAGAAATGATTCACCAACAAACGTCATTGTGATTATTCCAATACAGAAAGAAAAGTAAATAAGGAAAAAAGCGAAAGAAACCGTAAATCGATGAATCATTATCATTTTGTATGGTGTTCTCCATATGTATTTTTGTATAAAATTTGACGTTGTATTCCCTAGTGAAACTACTCATCAAGAGAGTACGACTTGCCAGCGTGAGTACTCAAGGGTGTGGGTGTGGGTGTTGGTGTGGGGTGTGGGGTGTGGGTGTGAGGGTGTGGGTGTGGGTGTGAGGGTGTGGGTGTGGGTGGGTGTGGGTGTGGGTGTGGGTGGGAAGGGTGTGGGTGTGGGGTGTGGGTGTGGGTGTGGGTGTGGATGTGATCTATCTCTTCACATCCAGACATTCATACCCACACCCACACCCACCCACAGCGCAGCCACAGCCACACTCACACCCAC